AATGTTTTGATATAGGGAACCTAAAGTGCAATTAATTACACATGGAAATTTTTTGGTCTCAAAGAATACTCTATTCTGTCATGATTATGAAAATCAGACATTACAATTTAACTTATCATATGAGCCTACTATTGAGATTTTTCTAATCCTCACGTGTTTCAAGCGTAATCAACAGTTTAGAATCAACCGGCAAAAGAAAAAAAAGCTTTTTAAAATAAAAATATGACTAATAAATATTTCCTTTAATTTAAATTAAAATGTATCAATAAGATGAATAAAAATGTTTATTTTAAAAAAATCCTCAATCGTAGATGCATCAATATTTGAGCAATGGATTGTCTAGAAACTACTCTAGGTTTAAAAATTTATATCCCAAACATAAAAGCAATCTCCTTTACTTTCTCATATTTCATGAAATTTTTATCCATATTCTCTCTAATATTTGTTAATATTTCAACAATATCCTTTACTCTATTCATAACCTCCCTTAAATCCAAATCAATTTTTTGTAGAATTTTGCTAAAATCATATGTATAATTAAATAAAAAAAACACAATGAATAGATATTAAAAATTGTTGCTTAATAATAGCCTGCAAAAGATTCTCAGCATCTGCTAAATCTTTTTCTTTGCTTGATATATAAAATTCCAGTGCTGCAAATACAACATCATAGAGTTCAATAAAGAGTTTCACCGACTCTTGTCTTTGAATAAATCTAGTCTGACAAAATCTTTTTAGTTTCTTTTTTTGATTTTTTAAGTCTATGTCATGATAAGCCACTTATATTTTTTTTATCCATGATAATTAGAATGTCAAATTTCTCAATGACACTGGAAATTTATAATTTTATTTTCAATTAGTATATTTATAATTCAATACCTATAATATAAAAATAAAAAAAGTTGCGCATTAATTTGTCACCCAAGAAAATTATGTAAATAAATGAAAATTCAATATAAAGGGCCGATTTGGGCTTATTTTAAAAAACGGTCGATTATGATTTTAGCCAAAATAATATGTACGATTAGAGATAGAGATCCAAACCTTTCTTCCTTATTTCTTTCATTCTTCTATGCGCAAATTCTCCAGGCTTACATAATATTGGCTACTAATCAACATACCTTATAATATGGTAAATTGGTCCACCAAAGAAATCAGTATAAATGTTGGTTGTTAATTTTTTTTGATATTATTAAATTTTTTATTGATATTAGACATATAGTAAATAAAATTGAGATTTTTGTAAAAAAAATACAAAGAAATAATTAATAAGACTAACATTCAAAATGACTTCTATTTAATCATCCCTTTTTTATACTAATAAATTGCAGTGTATTAGATATGCGCTGAATTGTTGTTGCCCCGAATTATCGCCGCGTGAATTGACGCTGCCCCGAATTGACGTGGAATAAAACCAAATATTTGAAATCGCCATTATTAGTTATAAAAATTAAAAGTAAATATAAAATATTTCCCCAATATTTTAGCCATAAATATTACGCAAGTCTGGAGTTGCTCATATGGAAGAGTGGTTTAGACATCTATTAACAAAATCCCGAGACTTGCATAACATTTTTTGACTAAAATAGGGTTAACAGTTTTTACAAATTGAGCCGTTTAACAACACTAGTGCAAGTGGTGCCTCTGCAGATCTCTGATATATATCATTAGACTGCAGATTTTATGGGGATTCTAAATATATAAAGATATCCCTATTTATTTATTAATAAAACATGATTATTCTTTTACACATACTATTCGCTCAAAACATTAAGTTTTTATATAAACATAATCTTAATATTTTTTACATTTTATATATAATCAAAATGATTCTGCTAAAATTGTTAATTAATAATATAGAAGTATCGTTTTTTAAAATTGATTTCAATTTACTATAAATGCAAATGACACTCATGTATTTTTAAATACTTTCATGTGAAAGTTATGAATCTAGTAAAAGGTGCCAAGATATTGAGGATTCGAGCCTTTTTTAAGGTTAGGCCTGAATTGAATTTGATCGTATTAAGTAATTGAAATATAACACCTATTTGAAATTAGTTTCCTTTATTGTAATTCATGGCTTCTAATCTAGCCAAAATTAATATTAATTTTTAATACAAATCATAAAAATTTCAAATAATATTCATTTAAAGAAAGCTTGATCTAAAATAACATATAATATATATTTTATAATTTGACTCATGTATGCCCTATCATTAACTAACAAATTGCAATTCAGGTAACTAAGAGGTTGGACTATGTCACAACCTAACTATGTTCTAAGGTAACTCTTAGTTGTTCAATAGCTAAGAGGTTTTCTAAGTTTTTACTAGCAAGACATGCAATCAGTCGCATAGACCTATTTTATTGATATTTTGAAATAGTTAGATGTCTTTAAAAGATGATGCAGATAAAATGGAGTAGGATTTATAAATTAAGAGTGAAAAAAAAATTTTGTGGATAATAAATAGGTAAAACTGCATCAATCTAAACATTGTTTTGACACAGTAAGAGCCTGATCCAGTAAATTATAACTAAGAGATTAGACTAGATATTAGCAGGGTTGGCAAGTCGGTCAATTGACCGGTCAAATTCAGTCAATCGGAGGAGTATTTGACTAAAAATATCTGAAGAAAAAAAAATTAAAAATGTGTTTAAAACTATAAAAAACGATATAAATACATGTAATCACAATGTTGCTTATTTTTTGGGTCCCCAACAAGAGGAGCATCTCACTCTCACTAGTAGTGAATTCAATGAAGTATATGATATAATTCAAGAATTACCCATTTTACAAGGTTGTGATGACCAAAATATTTTAAGTGATATAATTCATTTCGTGGTGTGTGATGTATGCTTGAAAACCGAAGGTCCCAGGTTCAATCCTGGTAAGGAACTAAAAATTTTCGGGTTTTTCTTCGATGACGGATGGCTTTAGACATATGATATGAAAAATTTCTGAGCCGAGAAATGCCACCCCGGTCACCGACAGGCTTGGACAGCCGGGTGCTAGGATACTTGTCCAATAAACCAAAAAAAACGGCCAGCTAAATTCATGGGTCAGATGATAACGATTTCTTGGCCAGGCTAGAATGATGTTGACCTCGGGGGCCGCTCAAGCTCAATGTCTACCAATACAATGGACTTGATAATGATACTCCAGTGGGAGATTCATCGGAATTGATACTCCAGTGGAAGATCAGGATTGGGATATCTATCGATTTGATAATTCGGTGTAAGGACTCCGGTGGGATATCTGGTCGATATTGATTTGATAAATTGGTGGGAGATCAAGATACTTTGGCCTCGATAGCAATACACCGGTGATCGATACAAATGAAATCGATCAGAAATACAAATTAGATAAAAATAGATAGCATGAGTAATAATAAAGTGGAGATAGATAGTGAAGGAGCTTACCACCAGAAAAGGTGATAGCTAAAAGGAAAAAAAAAATCATTTCAGAAGCAAAATCAGCATGTTTAATAGCAATTATGTGGAAAACAGTTATTTCCAAAAGAAACAATCAATTCCGACCTCAAGTTAATAGATTAAACTTTGCCATCATGCCCATTTAGAGACTAACAATTCCTAGTTCTTCTAAAGAAATAGGTCGATTTGGGTTAAAATTCTTTTGAAAATAGAAATCTTAAAAAATATTAAAGAAAATGATAATATTGAATATGAGTTAGAACAAGACTCTGCTACAGAGAGCTAAGCGTTAGTTATTGAATGACAATGAATTTAAAAAATTAATATTATAGATTATTTAAAATAAAATTATTATTAACTTAAAAAACATATATTTGATTTGACCTATTAAATATCGGTCAATTGACCGAAACGTATTTGACCGGTCAAATGCACAACCCTGGATATTAGTGAATTGTTTAGGTAGAAAGAGAGGAAAGATAAAAGAAGACAATGTATGTAGGGATAATCTAGAATGCTACCATTTTACCTTAAAGTTTGGCTAACCTTCTATTGGAGGGAGATAAAAAATATTTCCCAATGAATTTTCATTAAATTTAAATGTTGTTAAACGCTACTTTTAAAAGGAGCGCGCCACCGCTACCACTATTTGCCAGAAGGCAGCGCATGACAGCCCTTTACTAATAAATCTTTTTTAATGTAATAAAAATATTAATTTTTTATATTGTATTACATTATAAAATTATTTCAATATTATCATCCTCAAGTTTAGATCGGAGATCGCTAAGTATAATTTTAGCGGTACTTAATAATCGCTCAACAATAGCGCTTGAGGGTAATGGGGTATATTATTTTTCAAATAAGAAAAATTATCAGAAATAGTCATTTGCAAATGAATTAAAAAATGAATGGTTTTCACGAACTTATTACCTTGATATCCATTTGCTTCGACAATTTTAATATTTTATACTAGTTGAGTTGGGTTTACAAATTTCGAAAATATAAATTTCAATATTAAATAATAAAATTTAGAACTATAATTCATAATGAATATATTTTATAACTCAATACCTTTTTATAAAAAATACCAAAAAATATAGCACAATACTTATAGTTGCGCTACTTTAACAACTCTGATCGGCACTAATTAATCCGCAATATATCTATTTCTACATTTTTTCTATTCTAACAAAAGAGGGTAATTTCTTTATAATTAAACGGGCCTGACAGTGAGCTAGACCCTCTAATGCACGTACATGTATTTGGGATTGCCTCCAGTGTTACTGTTTTATATTTTTCTAAATTTTACTAGCCAAATTTTCAGATTAAACATTTAGCAAGGCTGTCCTAGTAATTTTATTAATAAATTTTATCAAGAATAAAGATTGAATTTTAGCAAAATGAATTTTATATGATCTTATATTTAATAACGAATCAAGAGGTAGCTTTTTAAAGTAACATTTGTATATTAACACAATTCATATAACAATTTATAAGAAAATTTTATAAAAATAAAATATTCATGAATTCATTCTGTTTTTTTTACGATAAATCAAATAAATATTAATTAAATATTAATTAAATATTCGTTTTCTAAGGGTAAAAACACCTTTTTGTAATTGATGTAAGGTTATGTACAAGCGATTATTATCAATCAATTTTCTAAGACATATTTTTGTAGTGTCGATACTTTGTATGATAGCTGCAAATTTTTTTTCCTCATTACCCTCAAATGATTCAACAAATACGGATTGTCCTCTATAATAATATCTTTTATCGTAGTATAATTTCCCGTCAACGATATTTGAGGTAAATTTTACATCTGAATGTTAATATAATATTTATAAAATAATTAAACTATAAAATATTTAATTTTAAAGAATGAAAAAAAGTATTGGGCCTGTTTTTTCTAAGACCAGGCCAATTTTTCAAACGCTTAAATTAAATTTATACATTTTTTGCAATATTATACTTAAATTACATTTTCCTGGTGAGTTATTTAACCCAAAGACCTGCAAAGGTCCAATTAAGGTCCGAACCAGATTTTAAACATTTGCTCATTATCCAGCCTAATTCGTATAATTTTTAGCTCGTCTTAAACCTGATTTGGATTTTAATATTTTGATCATTATACAGTTCTGTTATTAATAATTTGCTCATTTTAAGTAGTTTTGCTGTATTTTGTAAATGGTTTTTAAAGAACTCATCGTTTGGTGAGTTTGAACCAAGATTTAACATAAAATTTAAAGGAACATTTGAAATTTTTTATTGATCAATAAAATTGGAAATTTTTCTAAAAAAATGTTATTTCATAATGATTTTTTTTTATATATATCGTATTAAAATATGGAATCTATATATGGGGATTCGGAATCTCTAGATTTTAAATATTTACCGGGACCGATTTTAACGTTTAAGTGGAAATGTATACCAGTTGTGTAGAGTACCTACCCTTGTGTATTTTTTAAAATTTATTTGAAAAATCTATATAATTTAAGGGCATTTCTAACTTTTAGGGCAAAATTGTTTTAAATTCACAATGTGGATATTTAATAGCATCATATTCAACCATAAATATTGTCCATATTTTAAATGAGATTGAAGAATTAACATAGAATTATTATTAATTCTTTTATATTATTAGAATATTCATATTTAAATAAGTCACAATTTTCTTTTTATTATAAATTACATTTTTTTTATCCCTTTTAACCAAAAACAATTTTCCTTATATCCTTTTTTAACAATAAATTCATCAAATAACCAATTATATAAAATAAAAATGTTCGTTTAAATTAAATTTAAATTGATATCAAAAATAAATAAATCAATTGCCAAAATAAATAAAACGTTAATATAAAATGATATCGATCACATATTCATCAGAGATAATTAATTTACATTTAATAATTTGTGATAGCTAATTGATCTTTTTTTAAAATATATATTAATTTTTTATATAAAATAAAAATAATATATCGGATCAGAATGGTGAAAAATTTGTGGATCAGCACAAGCCTAATAAATAGCAGACTAGAAAAGAGAGCATAATTTTGTTAATATATGTAAAATAGGCTTTACTCTTAAGGCATTTTAATAAAATTTGGTAGATAATATTAAATTTATTACAATAATAAATCTGATGTAAGAAAATAACTGATCAATTTTTTAAGAACTTTTAAAGAAATTAACAAAGGCTCATTTGGGCTATTCCAAGACAAATTGATTGAAATGATGTGATTTCCGGAAGACAACTTTTAAAATGGATTAAATAAAATTTGTCGTGAAAATTAAATAGATTGTATATTTTGAATAAATTTGAATATACATGCTCTAGCTCAAATATATTACGAGTTATGGATTTTTAAAAGAATCTCATTACTAAAATGCATATTTTATATAAATTAAAATATTAACCCTCTAGCTTAAATATATTCCGAGTTATGGACCTAATAAATCTCAAATTTGTCAAAATAATTTTGGTCTAAAGTAAAAAATTATATATCCTTTTTAGCCCTCAAAATTCCCCCTAAGGAAATGCAAAAATTATTATAATATATCTTCAGTGTCGTTGCATTATCGGTAAAACAAACAAATTAATTTTGAGAAGGACTTATGAAAAGACGAAACTCACCTTTTCAGGTTTATTACTTCTTCTTCTCCGTTTTATGGCGATTTCCAGGTATACCCGGGTAGGCCAGTTTTCCCTCTGATTTTTCTTTTCCATTTTTGACGGTCCTGAGCATCAATATTTGTAATATTCATGCTTTTCATATCCGCTGCTATCACTTTTGTCCACGTCATCTTGGGCCTTCCTCTAGGTCTTGATCCTCCTACATCCATCAAGGTGCATCTCTTTATCCAGTCATCTTTTGTCATACGTTCCACATGCCCAAACCATCTTAGTCTATTTCGTCGCATTACCACTCCAATCATTTCTATACCCAATCTTGCTCGCAATTCCTTGCTAGTTTTTCTCTCTCTCAGAAAAACCCCACACATCTATCTAATCATTCTCATCTCTGTTCTTTCTAATTTGGCTTCGTGAGTTGTTTTCATTGCCCATGTTTCTCCACCATAAACTAAACAACTCCTCACACAGCTTACGTAAACTTTCCCCTTTAACTTCAGAGAGACTTTTTTACTTGTTAGAATAGACGACATCTATCTGAACTTCTTCCATGCTTGTCTAACCCTTGCAACAACGGCAGAATATACACCACCATCTGCGCTTAGCATATGACCCAAATAACAAAACTTATCCACTTTTTCTAGGGTTAACCTATTGCCAATATCCAAACCACAATTTTCTACGTTATCATTATGTACCCCTTTCTTGCACGATCTACAAATAAAAGTCATTCTTGATAACATAAACTTCCTTTTTTCCCGCTACATCTATTATGTATAAATTTATGGCATCTGGTGCATTAGATTGAATTTCTAGCAACTTCTTTCCCACATACACCACAAGGCCACTTACCGGATTTCTCCATCTTTAGATTTTCCCCACCAATCATCTTTGTCTTTGATACATTCATAGGCCCTTTGCTTCCATAGTCATCTTCCATTTACTAATTTTATTCCTCAATTCTTCCACACTGTTTGCCATTAATACAAGGTCATCTGCATATAATAGCTCCCAGGGAAGTCCTTCACGCATTTCTCTAGTTACCACATCCATTACTAGGATAAATAATAATGGACTCAGCACAGATCCTTGATGAAGTCCTACCTTCACCTCAAAGCTTTCAATATTACCATAATCCGTCCGTACTGCTGTTTGTGCTCCCACATACATTGCCATCACTGAGATAACCAACCATTCCTCCACACCTGATTTTCTCAAGGCCCATCTAGGAACTTCACGCGGCACTCTGTCAAATGCTTTCTCCAAATCAACAAACGCATAATAGAGTTTCTTTTCTTTCGCAAGATATTTCTCCTGTATTTGTCTCACCGCAAAAATTGCATCTGTCGTGCCTTTTCCCGATGTAAAACCAAACTGCATTTCATCAATTTATTTGTTCCCTTATTCGCTTCTCTAACACCCTCTCAAATACTTTCATTGCATGTTCCAAGAGTTTAATAGCTCTGTAAGACCCGCAATCTAAAGGATAACCTTTCCCCTTGTATACTGGGATAATTATAATTCTTCGCCAGTCCTCGGGAATAGTTACTTCTGTGATAATTTGATTGGCTAAATTACCATTCAATCCCTAAATCATCAGAACCTTTAAACATCTCTGATACCACCATCATTAAACCCGATGCCTTCCTTTTTTTCATCTTTTTCTCGTCCTTGCCAAATTTACACCCTGGACCTTCTACCTTTGCACAACTATCATTATTATCCCATTTATTTTCTTCGTTCAAAAGTCCTTCCATGTAGATCTTCCAGGTGTTCTTAATACCACTACTATCAATCACCATTTTTCCTTGCATATTTTTCAAACATTTATCACCTACAACATCCTGCCTCTTTTTTGCCATTCGAAACACATTTCCCAATCCATCAGCGCATTCCATTTCTTTAGCAAACTCCTGCCTTTTTTCTTCTTGCGCCTTCGCTATTAATTTCTTAGCATTTCTTTTCGCCATCTTGTAAATATCGTTATCACTTATTCTTCACTGTTATACCATTCTTTGAAGCACCTCCGTTTCTCATCCACAGCTTTCGCTACCTCCGGGTTCCACCATCAAGTCTCCTTATGTCTAGGCTGCCCTTTTGTCCATCCACATACCTCTTCAGTTGTCAACATCCAGGCTTTCTTCATGGCTTCCCACTTGTCATTTCCCCCAGATGCTTGTGCAACCTCCGCCTTCTTAATCGTCAATGTCATATTGAACTCCCCTTCAAGATTTCTCATGCCGTAACTGAACCCTCCATGCACTCCTTCATAACCCTCAATACTCGCTCCCACATGTCCATTCAGATCACCAGCCAGAATAATCCACTCTTCATTTGCCAGTCAGGATGTCACCCCCAATAGACTGTCCCAAAATATATCTTTTTCTTCTTCACTTCTTCCAACCTGAGGAACATATGCCGAGATAATATTATATAGCTTTCTACCAAAAATCATATAGCCTTCTCACTTCAATTACTTTGTCTATCAATCTCTCCGCAACCAATACTCCAACTCCAGCCTTACCATCATTACTTCCTTGCCAAAAGAATTTATACTTTTCACTAATCTTGCCAATCATTCTTGTCCCATTTCCTTTCCATCTGGTATCCTGTATGCAGCACACATATCTATATGCCTTTTATGCAATACATCAACCACTTCTCCCGCTCTTTCCGTCATACTCCCAACATTCCATGTCGCAACCCATACTCGATTCCCCGTAAACTGGTTTCTCCACTTTTTATCAGGTCGTTTATGGCCGTCATAAGTTTCATTTTCATGAATCGTGGTTCCACCAGGTTTTCCATCCTTCTTTTTGTGGTAGGCAGACAAGGAAGCCCACGGGGTACGTTGGGCTGTACCCCGCCCATGTTTTGTTGTAACCATAGGGAAATTTTGTAGCAAGATTTTATACAATCGGATGCCCTTCCTGACATCAACCCCATTAAGTGGTTTTTACACTCCGTAGAGGAGACAGTGATCCTATTCTAGACCCACATCACAGAGAACCTTTTAGACCTCCATTAGCTGCCAAAAGACGTTGCCACCCCGTCATGATGAGGCTGAAGGTAGGATTTTGGGTACTAATATATTTAAATATGTAAAAAAATTGGAGAAAATAAGAATTTAAATTTAGGAATAAAAAAAGCAATTATAAAGGGTGATAAAAAGATGAAACTCATCAAATATGTTTATTATCAATATATTTAAATATTTAAGTAAAAATATTAATGGAGAAAATAAGAATTTTTTATTAAGCTTTAGGAATAAAAAAAATAAATTATAGAGTGCTCTCGTTAAAAATATTAATTTTTTTATTAAGGTATAAAAAAATGTATTTTTTAAAAATTTCTAATATACAAAAAAAATTTATCGAAATACTAATGGTCATTTATAATATAAAATGCATATATTTTAATTTAAAATTTTTTAGATTATAAAAAACTAAATAAAATTCAAATTCTTATTTTCTCCATTAAAATTTTTACTTAAATTTAGACCAAAAATATTTTGAGATTCGTCAAAAAAGGGCTCTCATCGAACTTTGAAGCCCCATAACTCGGGGATATATTTGAGAGAACATTAAAATCTTGATTTATATAAATATATAATCTATTTAACCATCACTCCATTTTCAAAATGATTGTCCGAATAAATGGGTGATTTGTCATGAGATTACCCATAAATTATAAATTTTACTTTGAACTTGTGTTTATATATTTGTGATAAAATTCATCACACCATAAAATTTATTTTTTACTATAAAGTTTTTGGGCTAGACCTGAGGACAGAAGACAGGTAAAAAAAAATCTAATATTTCTCGGGCTTGTGCTAAATGAATTCATTGTTATTATAATAATTTTAGTATTTTCCTGATTATTTTAATTATTATTTCTTAATTATGAGCTAGATTTTACAGATTTACTATTTTATCTTAGCATGCAACTTAATTAACAGCTAGTTAAAATTGATAAAATAATTTTTGTGGTAAATAAGTCGATTAAGACCCATACTTCAAAAACATATATTAAAAATTACTTATCTTTCAATTTGAATAAATAAATTTGACTAACCCTAGCCTTATTGATAGCCAGCATTTTTCTAGTAGGTTATTAATTCCCTAAATTTTATAAGAGAATATTATGCCAGTTTTTTTCAAGACCTTTGACCGGGTATTATTTTTAAGTCTTGGTTTTATACTTTTTTAAATCTTAAAAATTTTAATTAATTATTTATTAAAAAAAATTAACTTACACCTAAAATTATTGTTTAAGATAATGTATTCATTTTTTAGAGAAAGGGGGGACTGGAGAGAAAGGAATTTTTTAATACCTTATAATATATATGAAAATTTCTTGACAGATTTGTAGCCAACCCCCCCCCCCCTCAAATAGCTAAGCCTATGACATATGATATAGGCTAAAACTAGCTGTTACTTACATCAGGCCTGGTTAGGAAAAAATCAAGCAATTTAATATCTTAACGTGACGTTATCTGTAATATGTGTACATTAAAAGAAACATTATTTACCTTGATTTGATATTTTTGAAACCATATCATTCTAAGTAAAAAAAATTTAATTACGTTAAAAAAATAAAATAAACCTGATCTTTAAATGATCTAAATGCATTTAAATCTTCTTCTATTGATTGATCATCCAAGTGAAATTTCACATGTAGTGATAGTAGTTAAGGAAGATAAGATTCTTAAAATAATTCATAAATGGTGTTGTGACATGGTTTTCAAGTTTAACAGACTTGTAAGTCGAACTAATGACATTAGACCAAAGTCATTCATCCAAGCTGATAGGACCCCCTACCCTACAAGAGTACCCCTTTGTTATATTTTATAGAGGTAATCGTATTTAATATTATATCATATTTAATATAAATTATAGAGTGAAGGTCTGTAGTGCGAGGGTTTTAGACCGTCAGCCAAAGCCTACACGATGAGTGGGTTGAAAAAATTTAAGCACTAAGTTAAAATATTTCTAGAACAATGGCCAAACGTGCAGGAGGATGAATTTGAAATATTTTTTCGAAGAAATGGGGCTTATATTTATTAGATATTCCCCCCCCCCTCTGCCAAATTTTTATGCGGATAAAAGAAAATAATAGCAATACAAAAATATATAACAAAAGACAGACCTGACATCATTTTTAGGTGTAATAAAGTAACATCTAAAATTTATAAAAGATTAGAGCCGAATTACATAATAAAACTAGATATAATATAAAATGGTGTTGGACAATAAAAGATAAAAAATAATTTGAAAAAGCAAAAACATTAGTTATTGAACAAAATACAATACTATTTTATCAAATCTGAAATTAATATTAGAAAAAGAAAAATATTCAACATATGACTATGATAAAGTATTGGCAGTGTTAACAATACTATAGCAGCTACATTATTGCAAAATCCATTAAAAAGATAATAAACAAAGAATTAGACAGGGAATCTTACTTTTGTCATACTAACATTATCTAAGAAAAACTTATGAAACCACAAAAGACCCAATATTGAGAGGTTTTTCAGATACCTTATTTTAGGTATATCTGATATTTTTTTACAATATTTTAAAAGGATATCAGGTGTAGGCTGTTTCTTACGCTTGCTTGTATCATTCCCATTGTATGGTAAATCATTGGCAGTTCTTCGCCTTAAAATTCTTCTTGTGTAGACCGGTTTTATATCAGTTGATTCTAAATAAATTTTTTAAAATAAAATAAGTCAAATCTAGTGGGGAATGCCTAAATTTAAAAAGTCATTGAGTTGGATACGCCTAATAAATATTGGACCAAAACTTTTCCAAGCACATAGAAACCTAGTCCAATTAAATTTTGTTCTATTAAAGTTTACCCCCCCCCCCTACTCCTACAAATCCAAATTAGCTAAAAAGGAAATTAAAATAATGCCCTAATCTTTTATATTTTATTCATATGATGAGTGTCTTCATACCTACAACTCTTCAATTGTAATAAAGATCCTGCATTATTCTCCCCAATCCATGGTAGATGTTCCTGGAATATAGAAACAAGAGATGTTACAGACAATATAGAGAAATATCTTAGTCAAATGTAGACCTGTGTGCACCCAGCTGGCAATTTTATTCACGCCGGAAAAGCTGCCCATTGAAATAAAGAGCGTGGCCAGGCTCGCCGCCGATTTTTTTATGGAGGCGGCGTGGCGTGTATAATTTTTAGATTGCTATTTAATTATATTTATATATTAAATCATTATTATTTAAATTTAAATGTAAACATTAATAAAATTAAAATATGAATTGTATTCTATTAGCATATAATAAAATAGTGTATATCATTTACATTTATTCATCATATTTCAAACTTGCACAAACATATTAATTTTTTTAAGGACATCACCCTCAGCTCTAATGACGTTTTTTAGTATCTTTTTAATGTATAATTTAATAATAACTGATTAATTAAATTAATTATATAAAATTTAGTTTTATTTCAGCTCTAATTATTGTGATGTTTTTTAAATATCTTTTTAAACTATAAAATAAATAAAATAGGGTGAAATTAGGTTTTGATGAGATGCTTAGATTTAATGCCATTTTATTCTATTAGGAATAACTGATTTACTAAATGCTTGAAATTTAAATAAAATTAATATAAAAAATAAATTGTCTAAAAAAATAGAAATATGATATTTGATTCCTCGCCAGAATTGCCTGATAAAACATAAATATAGTCATCTTCAAATGCGCATGTTTTAAATCTGATTAATTCTGGATCAAAATTCTGTTCTGTCACTTTTGAATTATAGACTCATTTCAAGCGTCGAAATTATAACACGTTTAGTCTTCGTCATTTAAATGAAAAATGTGACGCAAAAAGCATACTGGTGAAACAATATTATCTGCGATCGATAGCATAGAAAAGGTTTTCCATTTAAAAAAACAAAATACAGATAGTAACTGGTGCTGAGGCTAATGTCAAAAGAAGAGTCAGATTGGGAGATTATAATCATCATTTATGTTTAGGTGGACTTCACAATATAGTTATAGTTTATGGCAAAAAAAAGTTGCCAGAATTAATATTTTGATTAAAAAATTAGAGAAATCATTTCAGCCCTCGAGTAGCTGATTTGGAATGTGAAATTGAGGAAGAACATTGTAAAAGCCTGCAATCAAACTATTAGACTGACCATATTATGGATATTGATGATTCTGATTCATACCTTCATGAACATTTTGATCTAATTAATAGGAAAAGCTTAAAAATTAAATTGCCCTAATAGCTGGCACAGCATATAAATTTTGCTAGCAAACTGTAATGTTCAATATTTCTATAAAAGGAACTCTACACATTATTAAATTCATTCAAGAAAGTCAGTGGAATTTTTCCCTCCCAAAAGGGATCAACAATAAATTTAGGTTTATTTCGCAGTGAAATAAAAACATATACAACTCAATAAATTTGAAAGAAAATATGCAAAAAAAGCTTGACCATAGGTTTCCAATTACCAAATTTCAAGTAATTTATTTTATACTATATTTTTATTAATAAAATTATATTTTAAACATTAGATATTAGCAACACTACATGATTCAAGATGTCAAAATCTTAAAATTGTTTCAGAATATATAAATTTGAATTCTATGATATCATTGCAAAATTAGACATTTAAAAATTTTGGAGCATGATAGAAATGCACAGGGTGAGATTCATAGCTAAAATAGATCATAAACAATTCCTTCCAAGCAATGATTATAACATTAGCAATATAGAGCAATCGAATGTCATATTTTGCTCGGCCAACATAGTATCAGAAGAGGATGAACTAAATATTAGGAAAAAAAATGAATGAAACTTCCTAGACTTGCTAATTTAGCTAGTAAGGTTCTTTGTATACCTGCAACCAGTACGCCCAGGAGAAGATATTTTTCCATCACTGGATTAATACTCAATGAAAAAAGTACCTTTTATGTCCCAAGAATCTTGACAAAATACTATTTTGTCATGATAATTATAATTTTACTAAATCTGATTTCAAATTTATTATATATTTTGCTTACATTTCAAATTTGTATTTTAATTTGTTTTAAAAAAATCAATAGAATATTACTAAATGTGTTGTAATGTGACTCTAATCTGAGTAAAAATGCAATTCCTTTCTCTATTTCTGAGAATGATAAAATATTTAAATTTAAATAGGAGTAAGACAGAAAATAATTCAAAAAATGAATTAAACCATATTAACAAACAAAAATGTAATACATTGAATTACATATTAAACTCATCTAAAATTAAAAAATAATACACCAAGGCCACCACTAATTTATTAGGCAGTGGCAAATTAGTGTGCCACTGAACATCGATAAAAATTAAAAAATCTGCCATCATCAATTGAGGCTTCAGTGAACAGGTCTAGACATATGACATAAAATGTCCAGGACTTGGCAAATTTCAAATTGTAATAAATACCATAGATTTGGACATTAGCTTTGAGAAACAGTCACATTTTTATTCTTATTATCAAAATAAATCATTCAAAAAAATAAATAGGCCTTTTCAAATAATAACTCTTCAATAAACAATATGCAATTTAATATTCTAAATTCCACATTCAAATGCATCATCCAAGAGATTATATAGTTTAATGAGTGATGAGTACCATGGAGAGAAAAATGTAATTTATGCATTTATCTTCATTGAAAACTTAATTTATGATAAATAAAATTATCCATTCAAAAAATTTTCAGTCTAACAAGCATTGATAAAAAAAAAATTCTTTTTTTACCTCTTTTAAAATAATCCATGAAATATAATTTATTAATTTCCTATAACTTTTTTTCTGACAACCTTTTTTCTGATGGGGGATGGTTATAAATTCAAAAAAAACTAATGTTTTTTTTCAGGAAATTATCTTCCAACATCAAAATAGCATAGGTCTATTCAGAAATCTCCAATGCAGGAGTGGGGGGGGGGGTGCACTATTAGGTGGGGGTTTTTCATAATTTTACTTGAGGTCTTTAGGTCCATTATTTATTATAGGCCTATGGCTATGTTATATTTTTATAAAAATAAATTTTGTTTCACATTTTTTATTATTTAAAAAAACTTCCATTTTTTGAAGGAAAGAGGGTGGTATAAGAGGAAATTAAAATTTTTCTTGGGGGGGGGGCTGATATGCAAATTCTGCAAGACTATACTTGGCAAAATATGGATATAAGGAGAGTTAAGCCTCTTTTCTATTCAGAAAAATTATGCCTTAAAGTAAAAAACAATAGAAACTGTGCTCACCTCATTTTATAAAATTTTATCAAATATATTTGAATAAGGAATGAATATCAATTAAAAAGATGGCATGTCATCTTTAAGTATGATTTTTTATAAGACATTAAATTATATATCTATTATAAAAATAACACTCTTGGATTACCAAACCATAATTAAAAAATGAACATTAATATATAGATAATAACTATACCTTTTCCAACTAAAATTAATAACAAGAATAAGCTAATCAATTTATCCATATAAAATATTTACCTTGATTTAATTCCATATTTTGACATTCTTGTAAAGCTAGTTTTTTGTTTTCCTCTAATTGCTTAATTAAATTACGCTTTAAATAAATCTTTTTTTCCTATTTAGACAAAATTTTAATATTTTACAGAATTATAAAAAATGTACTTCATATTCCTTATATGCATTTTCTCCCATCTGTTTATGTTCTTCAAAGATATCAACACATTTTTGATTATAAATTTCTTTGCTAAGTTTGATTCGTTCCTAGTATTTTTTTTTATAAGAAATTAAAATAATTAACACCTCATGTTCTTTCTCTAAGGTATCTATAAATTCATTCAATTTTAAATTATTTTCTTTCAATAAAAACATAATAAGGATAACTAAATTGACATTTGACATACTCATTGAGATTGACAGTGTTTATTTTTTATACTAAAGGCCAATGCTTTTGGCCTCTCACTAGACTAGTGTTGCTATTTAAAATTATTCAAAATGATTAAGATATTTATTGTAAACATGTTAAATTAAAATTCCAATATAGATGTAGCATAGAAAAGTAACAATTGTCATAAACGTTATTATTTAACTTTTTTGAAATACTTTAGATATAACATAGAAAATTGACAATTGTCATATGTAATATTTTTGTCTTGTCCAGATCCCGCCTTTTTGAAGTTTGGCAATTTGCCATCCCTAACACCCTCATGTTGATTATTCTGTAAAACACCTTGAAAAGGATACATCCTCTTCTATATCTATGTTTAAATAAGATATTATATTCATTCTTATGGTCAATAGGCCTGTTATTTTGAATTAATTATCATTGGAAGCAGTTTGGATTTTTAAGAATCAATCTTTTAAAATAGGCTTCAAAAAAATTTAAACTTCAATTATTATTTTTGATGAGATCACAAATACCAAGGTAAAATAAGAGAGGACGTGTGCCCTCCCCCTCCTGGATCCTTTCATCAGAGTCTATGATATGAATGCAGAATAAGTGAGAGTTTTAATGGCACAATATGTCTCTAGGAATTATGAGTAAAACAATTAATGAAATGTTTTCGAAATTTGTTATTAAAAGCATTTTTAAAGTCTACTTTGATTATATCCATGTTAGGAAGAGGATTCTGAATATAATATGAAGGCATACTATTTTGAATCTCCCTTAACACTGAATTCTAATTGCTATATATATACACCTAATAAGTTAACCCTGGATTCCCATGGCAATTATATTTGCTAATAATTTCTAAATAGTCAATTAACCCCATATTTGATTCAAATCTATGATAGGAGGTCTTTGTTTAAAAGAGTATTTATGAACGACTTAAAAGCATTTAAATGATTTTTTGAGATATGTGTAGATTTTATATGAAATTCTCTAAGGGTAAAAACTATTGTGTCTAGATGTGAAAAATTTGTTATAATAATGAAGAAATCCAATTATTTCTTTATTATATAAAATTCATATAACTCACAAATAATATTATTTTCCATATTTTTTATAATATATTTGATTTTTTCTATAAAAATTTATAGAAATCTTTGCAGAGTGAACAAGGATAACCTCTCATTTGGCTATTGTTTAAAGAAAAGATTCTTTTAACGTTGGCATTATGAGCTGATATATAAAAAAAATAAAGCTTTCTATAGTAGAGTTAACTACATTTTTAAGGATTGGAATATAAAGAGAAATCAGACCCATTTTTAGTGAAAAGCAGATTTTGTATATTCAACTATCTGATTTTATTTTTGACTACTTGAGAACATTTTTAATTTCTATCCATTGGAGACATTCAATTCTTCTAGAGGTGTTGACTAAGCAAAATATAAAATGCTATGTCTACATTAATAAATAAGAAAATAAGTTATACAAAACTCTAATCTAGCAAGAATATATATTTTAGATTATAAATTACAAATACAAATGAATAAAAATTTAGTTTAGAATATTTTTGAGTGCACATAAATTAAAATTACTAAATATATAAACTTAATGAATTCGGTACGAAACAGCGAAAACCAGAATAGCGAATAAAAAATATATAAATGTTCTTATGATGTATTACTCCACTAAAAAAGTCATAAATTAAAATATTATATATTAAAATATTAATAATAATAGTTAATATTTAATGTTAATTTAAATATATAATAAAAATAATCTCTATGAATTATTCTTAATGTAATATAACAATAAATATATTAAATTTTTCCCAATAAATTAAATTATCATGGTATTTATATATTTATATTAATATATATATGGTCATTAGATAAACTTACTTTCTTTAAATATTATCAATAGAATACTATTATTTTGATATGGTAAATATTTAGTATATTTTTAATTAAATATGTTTAATATTAATTTTCAAATAAATTATAAAAATGATTTACATAAAATTAGTTAATCTAGAGCAATAAATATTTTCAAAATTAAATGTTATTGCCTAATATAATATGAATCATTTTTAAATCCTAAACATGATATTTATATATATTCTGGTATTTATATATTTTCAATTTATAAATACTAATTTTTGTAAATTTAATTTAAAAGTATAGCAAACAATATATCTTTCTTATAAAATTCATTCATAGTAAATGAAGGGTTTTCTAATTATTTATATTTTAAATATTAACTCTTTTACATTTACTTTTTTGATAAGGGTGAAGTGTCCCTATCAAAATAATAGGATTTAGATTTTTTATTTTTAGTGTTAAAGCCTTCTTTATATATTAATAAATGATTTATTTTAAGTATTTATACATTGCATAGACAGATTGATCATTATATTTGCACTGAATAATATTTAATATTATAATAATACAATCAGTAAATACATGATTCAGTAGCCAGAATTTTCCTAAGGGAGGGGAATTAAAAAATTACTGGGGGCTTCGACTCCAGACCTTTTGGGTGGGCTTTCGGCCCGCCTTTTTCCGGGCTTCGGTTACCTTAGTCTATATATAGCAGAGTTGTACATTTACTCAAAATAAAAAGATCTTCAAAGATCTAGATCTTTGAAGATGGTAAAATTTGAAGATCTTTTATTTTTTAAAAATTTTGTGTAACGATCTTCAAAGATCTTCATGATATTTATTTTTTTACCCCTTTATCAAGATGTTTTTCAATTTTATTAATATAATATTTCTTTTATGTTTTATACCTCTCCTCCTGCCTTGATGAAAGAAAAAAATAAATTTTTTTAAAAAAAAAATATTGACACAGCATGTTTCTAAAATTTTTGATGGCTTTATTATTAAATTGCAAAATATTAAAAAAAGAGTGCCTACAAGAATATTTATTTTGATTGATATAAGAGTTTTTAATATTATTATTGAAAAGTGAAATAATTTTTAAAAAATATTTAAAAATTTATTGAAAAGCTTCCTTTTCTTCCGAAATTTTTTTAAAAAAATAAAATTATAACTGTTTCCAGTGAGAGTGTAGGTAGTGTTGCATATTATATAATAGTAAAGATGTGCTAAACCCATATTTTAAAAAAATTGGGTTTGGGCTTTGTCGGTTCTAAAAAAAATTTTTAAAAATTCCGGCCAGGTCGGGTAGTGCCTTGGAAATTTTTTAAAATAAATATAAATATATGAATAATTATAAAAAATTAATTTTTGCTGGCTGTGCTGGTAAAATTTTTTTAATCGGGTTCGAGCCGAAAAACATTTTTTAAAAATTTTGGGTTGGGCTTGAAAAATTAGGCCCTATGCAGATCACTATAATACATTATTGTAAAATATTTTCCTCTCGCTAATTAATAAGTAATTACTATGTTTAAGATAACACATTTGCATTTTATATATCCAGTAATAAATTTTTATTTCATTTTTTTTAAAATTTTTAAATCAAAATATAAATCTTTTTTTTTTGTGAGTTTTAAAAATAATTTCCGGTATTGAAAAAAAGGAATCAAAAAAGCAGACCGGTCTATGGGTCTTGGAAACTTTCTTAGAAAGTGTGTCAGCATACCCTGGCTTAATAAATTAGTATCGCTATGCCAATTCCCCTTACTACTAGTTCAGAATGAGGTGCTAACTTTCTTTTAATTTCATCGCTATTTTTTAATATTGATTTTTTAAATAATTTTAGAAATGTATCTATTGGACATATATATTTGATAACATTAGTTCCTAAATTTGATTGAGATAATTAGAATACTTTTGGATATTCCTATTATTTAAGGGGGGGGGATGTGCCTATTCTAAAGTCAAAATATAGTATAATTTATAATATCAATTTATACTTTTTATCTTTTATTAATTAATAAAGTTTAATAATTATTATTAAGGATAATTTATCTTAATGAGGGTCTGAACCCCGGGTCTGAACCCTGGGTCTGAACCCCGGGTCTGGACTCCGGGTCTGGACTCCGGGTCTCTGCTCAGAGCTGGTTTGGTCGATTTTTTAGACCCAAACCTCGGGTCTGGTTTTATACAACTAACCAATTAACAAAACTTTAATATTAAGTAAAAGTCATGCTTTTACTATTTACAACGATATAAAATAGCAAGTAAAACAAAATTAACACTTTCCCAAGATGTCTAGGAAGTGTCATAAAAACCACCAATAAAATCAGAATGATATGATATATTTGTCATATTATATATCCTTAAAATAAGCTAAATTTGAATAAAAAAATTAAGCCCAAGCCCAGCCCAAGTCATATTGCATAAAATTTCTAAAGAACCCAAACCCGGCCTAGGCCCGCTAGAAAATATATATTTAGGTCTATACCCTATCCATGTTTCTGATATAATTATGGGTTGTTAAATTCTAGACCCAACTAATTAAAATGGGTCAATTCAGTTTTTTTTATTCTGAAAATATTTTATATATTTTAATTTTACTCTACCAACTCGAGTCGCGAAATGCAGTTGTAATTATGATTCTTTATTTTATATTTAGGGAAATAGTTCAATATTAACATCAAATTAATTATCCTATATTCTCTTTAGTATCTCTCCTTTTAAAATTCAACTCATACTTCTTCATCCCAATATATTAAACTTTTACGCAAATTTCAAATACCTCTTTGTATCTCTGATTTTACAATTCATCTCAATATAATTATAATAAATTCTTGCGCATATACCTTTTTTGTACCTCATCTTTTATAATTCAACCCACGTATATATTTCAATTCTAATCATTCCTTGATTCTCCCAAATATATCCCCCTTTATTAAAAGCCCAAATGGTTTTCAATTTTTATAATTTCTTTTCTTTTATACCTCCCCTGCCCTGCCTGAAAGAAAAAAATATTATTTCGTTTCGTTTTTTTATTTTTGGATATATACTTTTTTAAAGATTAAAACTCGTAAACTTAATCATTAATTAAATTTTTTCTTTATTAAATAAAATAAATTTTTTAAA